ATGCTAGCAAAGAGGTAGCCTGGCAGCGCAGGACTCGCTGCCACTGACAGATGCCACCAGGGCCACACCTTTTTCTTTTCTCTTGTTTTTAATAAAACCTCCCTTTCATTCTATGTATGTATTGTTGCTTTTTCGGTTATTCTGGAGCACTCTGAAAGTCGAGGTGGGATGGAATGATGCCTATTTGTCGCATGAACTAGGCTAACAACTAGAAATAGGATCACTGTCGTAAACGTGTCTTTCTAAACGCTATGAGTATCTTGTTTTTAACCTGAAAAAAAAGTTTCAATGTGATTTGTTTAGATTCAACTCTGCATTCTTTTTTTTTTTTTAATGATTTATTTATTTCTACAAGAACTAGGGGAGGGTGAGAGAATTCACCAGAGACAGAGCAGGGAGCAAAACAGGCAGAAAGACCAAAAACACTGCTGAGGGGAGCAGTGGGTGAGACAGGAGGGGTCCCGCACCATGTGGGTATCTCCCTGGCCGGCTGGGAATCGAACCCAAGCCGCATAGGCTGTGGACAGCTTCACAGCGATGCGCTCAATCCGTTGCACCACCGGGGAAGCCCAACTCTGCATTTTTTTTAATTAATTATTTATACAAGCACCGGATACAGTCAGAAGCGCGGGAGGGTGAGAGAATTCACCAGAGCCAGAGCGGGGAACAGAACAGGCAGACTGACGAAATACACTGCTGAGGGGAGCAGCGGGCGGCAGGAGAGGTCTGCGCACCATGTGGGACCCTCACCGGTGGCCGGGATCAAACCGGTGCTGCAGAGGCTGTGGGCAGCTTCACAGCCCAGCGCTCAACCGCTGTGCCAGCAGGGGAGGCCCTGCATTCTTAATCCTTTTATCAAATTCCCTTCCACACACATGTGTGTGTTTTGAACAATGTCCTATCTGTCCCTATTCACAGGATCAAGGTCAGAGCTGAATTCAATCAGTGTATTATCAGTTGACAATCTTGACCTCACCAAAAGTCCTGCATTGTTCACTTATATGTGAACACCCTACACACCACCCACAGGTGAATTAAGTGACCTTGAATTTAATCCTTTCACGGGTTATTTCCTACTGTCACTAAAAGGACCCTTCTGACCATGTGTGCGCTTCCCTTGAGGTGGTGGAAAGTCGCTTGCCAGGAGCTCCACAGATAGCTTCACTGGCATACAGCCACACTGTCAATTCCAGCAGATTTTGCCCTCTGGCCCTTTCCAGAAAGAGCTTGCCACCCCTACCCTCTACTCACTCAGCCTCTTCTTGTCTGTAAGCTGTTCTCCCTGCCTGCAACCCCACTTTCTTGGCCTGGGTAACTGTCATCCATGAGGTCCATCTTAGTTTAGAGTCCCCACTGGAAGTCTTCCCCTGCCTCCTGTCTAGCCAGGGGGCTGTCCTCATCTCCTCTGAGCCCTTCAGGTAATCAGTCTTCCAAGACCTTTGAACACAACCACAGTAGTCTTTGCACATCCTCATTTCACAGTATGATCAGTTGCTCATCCATCTCGACCCCAGACCTGAAATAAATTATTTCCCTAAGGAACTCTGTTTTTATTGTTGTTATTGTTTTTTCATTTCATTTTAGGTGAGAAATGTAATTTCGAGGACAATTTAGGTGCCAGGAATTATATACACATATGCTAAAGGGAAAGCAGCTCATAGTTCAGAGAGATAATGTCCATTCATAAACATAAAGTAGATCATAGTTTGTAGTGGTTTTCATTCATATTCAAGGCCACAGGGTAAGTTTTGTTAATCTCTTCTATTTTACATTATCCACACGCACGTACTAGAATATACACACTTCCTCATTTGTTTTATCTCACACTAGACATGAAACATGCACAAAAACCCTTGAGTAGTCAAATCAATAGACAAAGAAAAACAAAGCAAAGGCACCATACTTCTTGATTTCAAGTGTATTACAAAGCTGTAGTAATCCAAACAGTATGATGTTGGCATAAGAACAGACACATAACCCAAAGGAACAGAAGAGAGAGCCCAGAAATAAATGCACACACATACTGTCAACTGATTTTCAACAAGGAAGTGAAGAATACACAACAGGGAAACGACAGTCTCTTTGACAAGTGTTAAGAAAAATGATTATCTACTCACAAAAGAATTAAATTAGATCCTTTTCTTATGCCATACACAAAGATAAACTCTAAACGGATTAAAGACTTAAAAGATCTGAAACTATGAAACTCCTAGAAAAAAACACATGGGAAAAGCTTTATGACATTGGTGTTGACAGTCATTTTAAGGATATGACACTAATTGCATAGGCATCAAAAACAAGTGAACTATAATCAACTAAAAAAACTGCATAGCAGAGGGAGCAACAGAATGAAGTTAACCTACTGAAAGGGAGAAAATATTTTCCATCTAGATATCTGATAAGTGCTTAATCTTCAAATATATCATAACACCACAGTACTCAATAGTGAAAAAACAAGGAACTCAATTGAAAAATGGGTTAAGTACCTGGATAGACATTTTTCCAAAGAAGACAAACACATGGCCATCAAGTGCATGAAAAAGGTGCCCAACATCACTATCAGGAAATGTAAATCAGAACCAGGATGAGATGTCACTTTACACCTGTCAAAATGGCTTCTATCGGAAAACAAAAACAAATGACAAGTGTTGGTGAGAGTTTGAACTTGATGATGAACTTGGTTGGATATAAAATCCTTGACTGAGATTTTTTTCTATTTCATGATAATCATAACTTAGCTTCTGGTAGAAAACATTGTTGTTGAAAAATTTGAGGAAACACTAATTTTACCTCCATTGTACAATTATTCTTTTTGCCTAGAGAGCCAAAGAAAATTACCATAAATTCAACAATTTTATAGGCACATGTTCGGGTTTTGCTGTTTTGGAACATTTTACCAGGCTATGTGGTACACTCTTCCCTAGTCTTGAATCTTATTTTTTTTTCTGAGAAAATTTTCTTGATGTATACATTTTAATATTCATTCTCTTCCTTTGCTTTAGTTTTAATCTTTGGGGAAGCCTATTATACATATATTAGATTTTTTCCTATTATCTGTCTTCTGTATTTGTCCTTTTCTCTCAAATAGTTTCCATTTCCTCATCATTTTGTTTAAAAGCTTCCTTATTTCTCATAAGGCATTATGTTATATTTAGTCACTCCTAGGTTCTTTTTATTCCTAATTTCTGAAATTATAAAAGATACTTAAAATCATTTGTTATCTCTAATTCTTTCCTGAGTCTGTCATGTCATTTCTGAGGGTTTCTAACTCAAATTTATGTTGTTCTTTCATGTTGTGGGTCATTTTCTTAAAGCCTTTAATTTAATTTAAAATAAAGGAATAGTTTCATTTGCTTTGTGGTACATTTCTTTCTAAGATGCTTTCATGGTCTGGAGGGATATTACTCTGTTTCACACTCTTTTTTTTTTTATTTTAATAAGCGTGTGTGAGATTTTCCTTTGATAGTTCTCCTCTTCACTTGGTATTATACAGTTTTTCTGCTCTTGAAGGTGACCGGGAGAGCAGATATGTTAAAAATTCACATGTGAAGAGCGCCTCTTTTGCTGGTTTTTAGAACTGTTAAAAAGTTCAGCTTTGTTTTGAAATTTAGCAGTCCCCATGTAAGGTGGAGAGTACTCTTCTTAAAATCAAAATCTTAAAAATTTTCAGTCATTTGCCTAGCTATATAAATTTGGGGGTACCTCTTCTCACCTCCATATGTGCACATGGGGCTAACATGGGCACAGGAGTATTGGCAGAGGTGAGTGAAGCAAGTCAACTTTCTTTCTATGACTGCCTCAATTTGTTCTCCCTCATGTTTATCTGGAGCATCTCTTTTCTTTTCCCATATTGCTCCTGTCTTCCGTTATTTGTACGACATTCCAGGGCTTTCATTGCAGCAGAAACCATTGACGTGGCAGGGAGTTTTGAAGTTTCACTGGGTCGAGTGTGTCCCAAATCCTTCAGGCCCCCAGGGTGAAACCAAGCATCCCCTTGTCTCTCCTCAGGGACACTGTGGGCTCCGGGAGCACCGGCATTGACCCCCTTCCTGTCTAGAGGCTGAAGATGGGGCAGGGGCTGCCCCACCCAAACACACCGACCTGGCCGTGGGAGGGCAGCGCCGAGGCCAAGAAGGCCCGCCCGCAGGCGCGCGACCGCGGGGTGTGCTGAGCACAAGCTGAGGCGAAGGGCACCGGGCGGCCCGGGAAATCCCGAGCTAGCGTGTGCAGGATGTGGCCCCCGACCTGCCGCGGCCACGTCGGGGCAAGGGGGATGCGGAGACGCCAAGACAGGCTCAGCCCCGCGGGAGCTCAACCCAGCCCTCCAGAGCTGCCCGGGGAGCGGGGGCGTGGGGGCCAAGGAGGACGCGGGGGGCGAGGAGGAGGAGTGGGGGGAGAGGAGGAAGGAGGAGGAGGAGGCCGATCAAAGAGAGGAGGAGGGAGGGGGCGAGCAGGGAGCACGCGGTGCAGCCCCGCGGGTGCTTGGGGGGCGGGAGGGCTCGGGTCAGCACGCGGGGGGCCTCCCTGTCAGGCTCGTAGCCCGAGGGCAGACGACGGCCCTTCCTGCAGGCCCGGCAGACAAACCCACGCGCAGCCAGAAGCGAAGCGTCTGGTGTTTATTTTCGGGCGGGGCCTCTGACACGGGTGCCAACACTCCAAGGCCACGGGCTCGCAGCCCTCCTGGAGACGCGCGGCCCTCGCGCCGGGAGGACGGCGGACCCGGCCCAGCGAGGCCCGTCACCCGCGGCCCGACGGGACGGCCAGGCGGCCCGCGGGGCTCGGGCGGCCGTGCGGCTCCCCGGGCGGCCTCGACGCCGACAGAGCCCGCGGGAGCTGGCCCGCGGACGAGCGCCGCACCGAGGGGCTTGCTTTGAGGGCGACGGCTGCTTCTTGGGGGGCAGATGCGTGCCAGGCTGCCCGCTCCCCGCGCGAAAGGATGGGACTGGCGGGGAGGGGCGGGGGGCGGGGGCGGGGGGGGCCGGGGCCCGGGCCGGGCGGGGTCACTGGGCGAGCTCGGGCCGCGCGGCTGCCCTCTTCCTCACTTGCTTCAGGATGTCCTTGTCGAACAGCTCCTTCTCCCGGCGCCGCACGGGCGGCCCCCGCAGGTACTTCTCCTCCGCCGCCTTGTAGTCGAGCCCGTCGAGGGCGGCGATGGCGCAGATGACGGCCTCCGGCAGCAGGACCTCCAGCACGAAGCTCACCCGGTCGTCCCTCAGGGCCAGCACCCGCCTGTCCACGTGCGGGTAGATGTCTTGCAGGTGCCCGACCACGGCGTCCAGCTGGTCCTCGTCCTCCAGGTAGGTCTCCACGCAGATGACGTACCTGGTGGAGCTCAGGAAGGACTCCAGCCAGCGGGACGGCCTCCTGCCCGTGACGACGTCCAGGAGGTGGCGGTCGGCCCCCTTGCGCCTCACGATGAAGTCCACCAGCTTCTGGTTGGCCCGGTCCCGGGCGGCCTTCATGCGGTCGGGCAGCAGCTTCTTGCGGGCCGTCTTGGCGCCGGGGGCGGCGGCGGCTCCGTCGTTGTCGTCGTCGTCGTCGGAGTCCTCCAGGTCGGCGTAGTCCACCTTGGGGAAGTCCACCCGCAGCTCGCCCTCCTGGACGGCTCTCCTCACCGGGTAGCTGGCGTCGGCCGCGTAGTAGTCCAGGAAGGAGCCCGCGAAGGCCCTGCGGCCCAGCCCCTCCCTGTAGTGGGCGATCAGCGCGAGGCACCAGTCCAGGCTGAGCGGGTAGCCCTTCCTGGCTCTGCGCACCAGCGTGTCTTTCTCGCCGCACTCCAGGTGCCGGAGCCTGCGGAGGGGCACGGGGATGCCGCTCTTGCCGCGGCGCATGTCCGCCCGGATCAGGAGCACCCTGGCCGTCTGCTTGGCCTCGTCGACGCTCTGCACCACCGCGGGCCAGAACGGGTGGTGCTGAAATTTGAACCAGACCATGGTCCCTCTTTCGATGGGCCGCGGCTGCGGCGGGGAGGCCGGGCGCGGGGGGCCACGGCCGTGGCCGCCCGGGGCGCGGGTGCGGGTGGGGCGCGCGGCCGCTGAGGCCCCCGGAGGCGGCAGTCCCGGGGGAGCGGCGCCCAGCCCTGGGCCTCGCAGCCTCCGCCTTCTGTTTGCCAGGCGCAGGGACCGGCGCGGCGCGGGGCCGGGCGGCGTGCCCGGGGAGGAGGCGGCGGCGTGGCCCTGCTGGGCGGCCCCGGCCCCGGGGTCCTCCGAGGAGCTGGGGCCTCCGGAGGGGCCGGCCGGCGCCTTGGCCTCTTCTTCCAGAGCCGGGGGCGCAGCGGCCAGACGCCCCGGACGCGGGCACTGGAGGCCGCCCGGGCTTTTCTGCTTGGCTGTGCGATGCAGGGGCAGAGCTCCCGGGGGGTGCCCCTGCCCGCTGGCCCCTGGGCGGGGCCGGGCGCCCGCCAGCGAAGCGACACCTGGGCGCACGCCCGACCTCTGCGAAGGCCGCGTGCGCCCCTCCCTGGGCCCCGGACCGGCCTTCCTGCGCACCGGGGGGGCTCTGTGGCCTCCGCCCCTGACCTCCTTGCCGCCAGAACGCCGCCCCGACGGCCCCCTGGGCTCTTGCCTGGCCCCTGCCCTCCGCGGCCGGTCCCCGGGCCGCTGGCGAGGCTGTCTGCGGGCTGGCCGCGCTGGTCCCTTCGGAGGCAGCCCCCCGGCCTCCGGGCTCTGCCTGGCTCCCGCCGGACCCCCGGGCAGCGCCTCCTTCAGGATGTCCTGGGCCACCGCGAGGGCGCCGCAGTAGGCCCCGTCCTCGCCTGCTGGGACACCCTGCTGGCACTGGGCCAGCAGCAAGTTGGTGACGGAAGCCATTTGAGAGGCGCTGAGGATCTGGACGTCGCGGCTGTCCGCCCGAATTCTCTCATCCACCGACAGGATCTGCACTTGGAGAGAAGGCGCCGCGGCCCTGTTCCTCCTGGGCGCCGCGGCCCCGCCTCCGGACAAAACCCTTGCTGGCCAGTAGCGGCCTCTCCAGGGGCACAGGACATACTGGGCCTGCGCGGTCGCCTGACTGGGCTCTGGCGGGGCCGGGCCCTCCGCGGCGGTGGCCGCGGGGCGCTCCCGAGGCAGCGTTCTGGCCGACGCCCTCCTCGGCCGGGCCCGCCGGGCTGGGCTGCAGCTTGAGCGGCAGGTCCTCCCCGCCCGGCTCCTCCGGCGACGCTGGACCCCGAGTCTCCAAGCGACAGAACCGGAGGGCGGTTCTGAGGGCAGGAAAGGACAGGACGAAAGACTCAGGGACCCGCCCCCCGTGCGAGGAGACGACAGTCGGGGTCTGGGAATCGTGAGGCGGGGGACAGACAACGAGGGGAGGCGCCGAGCAGGCTGGGCAGACCCGTTCTCGGGGGCCGGGCGTGGGCGCCCCTTTGAGAGCTGGCTCCCACCTCTGCACGGCCCCCCCCCTCCCCCCCCCCCCCCCCCCCCCCCCGCCGCCCGCCCGTGCCCTCTGGCGCCCGGGGGCTCCACCTAGGGGACCGCATCGGCGTCTCTCTTCTGGGGTGCTCTGTGCCATCCCGTCAGCCTGGCAGCCAGCGGGTCTGGGCCCGGGGGTGCCGGCGGTCGGCTCGGGTCGGGCTCCAGAGCCTGAAGAGGAGGCGGAGGCGCGGGAAGCTCGTGCCGGGGCTGCAGGCCTCAGCCTCCCAGGGCTCGCGGGCGCGGCTCACGGCCGCCGCTGCCACCGCCCACGTCCCCGCCTGTGGTGGTCGCGAGGTTTCTCCCCCCGCCCACATCTGCAAAGCCCTGGCAAGGAGAGGGAGCCAGACCGCCCCACCCCAAATGTCGGCCCCGCGGGACTGCGGGCGCCGGGGGAGCCTCACCTGACGGCCCGGGGCTCCTGGGACGGGCGTGTGCTTCTGGCAGCCGGATGCCTGGCCTCTCCGCCCGCCACCGCTTGGCGGGCGCACCCCTCATCTCGCTCCACGCTTCTGGAGCGTCCGGGCCCCGCCGGGGTCCAGGGGTGCCAATGCTGACCCCGCACCGGTGCGCCCCGAAGGAGAATCTGGAAACCCAAGAGCAGAGGGGAGATTACTGAGCCAGTGATCTGCGGCCCGTGTTCTCATCTCCTGCCCCCGCCCCCCGCCACTCCAGAACGCGCCCCGTCCGCGCCCAGCAAGGCCGGCAACCTCCTCCCCGCGTGGGAGTCCTCTCTGCCTCCTCCCGCCCGTTCCAGGGCTCTCCACGCTGCCCGGACACCTGTTCTGACGCGCATGCAGCGTGTCGCGGGCAAGGTGTTGTTTCACCTGGCGTCTGAGACGCGCCTCCCTGGCCGCACCGCGGAACACCTGCTAGGAGCCTGTCCGGGAGCTGTGAGCCGGCTACCCAGCCGGTCAGCGCCTTAGCCGGCTGCTGGGGGAGCGGGCCGACGCGCTCGGGAGCTGGGCCGCTAGCAAGCGAGAGAGCGCGCGCCGGCTAGTCGGCCAGCTGGTCCGCCTCTCCACTGCAGTCACGGGCCCCTGGCGCGGCCCCACGGACGGCTGTTGTTGGGGTGACCCCGAGGCGCGGGCAACGGAGAAGGAGGGACGGCGCGGAAGGGAGGGGAGGACGCGGCAGTTCTCTCCCTCCCAGACCCCTCGGCCTCTGCAGGCCCCGCACACCCTCCCTCCGGGGAGCCAGAGGACAGGCGGCAGGCGGGGTGGGGAGCCGGGGGAGCCCGCAGCACAGGCCAGCACACGGGGCTGAGCCCAGAGGCGCGGGGACCCCTGACCTCCGCCCCGCCTCTTCTGGAAGCACGTCTCGGGGGACGAGGCCGGGGTGTCCTCCAGGGGCCCCGCTTCTCTTCAGAGCCACGGTCACCAGAAACCCGCAGGGCGGCGGCGTCCGCGGCTAACGCGCCCCCCCCCCCCCGGCCCGGCCACCAGCGGGTCCCTGCGCTCAGAGGAGGCCCACCCCCTGCCCTCGGCGGTGCCCCCAGGAAGGCGGTCCGCGAGAGCCGCCTTCCTCCTCCAGCCGCGTCGGCTGCCCCGGGTAGCGCAGTCTCCCCGCCTGGCCACACGGCGAGCCGGGGCGTCTTCCCGCCGGGCTCGCCGCCTCTCCCCCGCGGCGCACGCAAGAGCGTCTCCCTCTGAGGCGGTGGGAGCCGGCCAGCGGCCCGGGGCTGCTGTCGTCGACGGAGGGGAACGTGAGCAACGCTTGGGGACCCCCGCTGTAAGGGACTCGGGCCACGATGGCCTCGCAACAGGTGTCGCCTTCGGACACTGACGGGGCTGGCGGGCCGGCGGGCCGGTCCCCTCTGCCGCCCCCGGGAGGAGCCGCTGGCCCCCTTCAGAAAAGGCCCACCTTTTGGCCAACCAAGCTCCTCGGGCCGGCGGGAGTCCCGCGCGCTCGCATACTCACACACACACACACACACACACGCACGCACGCACGCACCCACGCACGCACGCACACGGCGGCAGACACCTACTATTCTCGATGTTTCTACAGTTACTCCATCTCTCCAGTCTGTCAAGATCCCTGTGCAGTGTTTCTGCTGCCAGGGAGAAGGCTTACCCCCGTTGTCGTGGAAACCAGAATGTCATCAAAACGCTCTCCCTGGTGTTAGCTTTCTATGGAAACCAGGAAGCACTAATGCATCCTCAGACGAGCGCGCCGCTCCCCACCTCAGCACCCGCCCCGCCCCGCCCAGGAGGGAGTGAGGCGGCCGCGTGCACACCTCACGTGCCTTGCACTAGGCTGGGCCCAGGCGCTTTGCGCGGAATGTTATGGGGCAGTGAAGGAGGCCAGCTCTGTTCCCCACACACACGCGCGCACACACACACACACACACGCGCGCGCGCGTGTGCAGGCGCGCGCCCCTAGGGGCCAGGTCCTCCCCCGGGGCTCCTTTCCACCGGACGGGTGCCGAGTCGGGCACTCCGCACCGGCTGACCTCCCTCAAGGGCAACCTGGACGCGCCTCACATGCTCTCGGGCCCCGCCGCAGGGGCCCGGACCCTGCGCGGCGCGGCCTGTCCCTGGGCTCTCAGGTGGCCGGGTGCGGGTTGAAAGGCACCCGCTCCGCTTCCCCGTTAGGCCCGACCCAGCCCGGCTCCCTGTGGGCTCAGGAAACCCCAAGGTGTGCCAGTCGGTCTTGGTTCTCGGCAGCAGGAGCGCCCCCCCACGCCCTTTGCTCCTCATTCCTTGCTGCTTTTCCCGTTTGCAGCGTTTCCCGGGCCCCCGCTCCGCGCGTGTCCAAGCGTGCCCGCCGGCCGGGAGGCCAGCAGGTGGAGACGTCGCGCTGCCGGCGCTCTGGCCAGCCGGGCCTCTGACACACACGCAGGTCCAGCCCCAGGGCACAGGGGACGTGCAGGTGCCCAGCTCCCGGGCAGCTCCCTCGGTAGGCCCGCGCCAGGGCCCAGGACTCTGCAGGGGGACGCCGGTTTAGTCCCTTACCGTCAGCAGCGCTCAAAGCGTAACGTTTTGGCCTCACGGGGCTGCATGCGTCGAGCTCAGACGCACGTCTCCTTAGCCACTTGTCTGTCCGTGGGCGGCTGGGGTGATGCCAGGTCTTGGCTCTCGCGACGCACGCTGCTGGGAACACACTTCTTACGCGTGTCTTCACTTTCTCGGGGCCAATCCCTCGCCGGGCTGTGGCTGGGTCACGCGGCGTTTCCAGATCCACGACGTTCAGGAAGCTCCAAACGCTCTCCCCGGGGCTGGACCCAGGCGCCTTGCCTCCACCCGCGCTCGCGCTCAGTGAAGCTCACCCGCCTGCCACCGCACGGGCGCAGCGGAGGCTCCGCTTGCTTCAGGAGCACCTGCCCTTGGTAGCGGGCGTTCGGGTGTCCTGTTGGCAAAAAGGGACAGTGGCGTGTTTGAGAAATAAAACCGCATCAGCGCTTGGCACTTTACACAATGTGTCTCTCGGCAAAGTAGATTTTAAAAATGCGCGCGGAGGATCAGCCACAGCAACTTCAAGTGCAAGGTTTTCGTTCGTTGTGCTAAGGGAGGAGGCTCAGTGTGATCGCGGGCTAAAGCGCTGCGCTCCTGAAGCTTACAGAATGAGCCAGCGGTAGACTGGGAAGGCTTTATGGGCAACTCTGGATGGAGTTGCCTCGGCCTGCTGAGGTGACCCCTTTGCGGTATATGAATTCGTGCAATCAGCACGTCGCGCCCGAAACTATGCTCATGGGCACTTTGCGAACAAAATAGTAAGTTCTTCTCCATGCCTTGACATTTTGTGCATTTTAATTCGGGGGTTACGCTTTTGCCCTCATCACGTGCCCAAGTTCCACTCGCCTTCCACCCAACCGCCCGAGCCAAACCCCTTCTGCCTCCCTGCCCACTGCTCCCTCTGGCAGTCGTTACGTTCTTCCACGGAAGTCAAGATTCGTGGCTCCTGCAGGGGGCCGCTCGGGGTTGGCGTCTATATCCCCCAGCTGAGCGACCCATGCCCTAGCTCTCTTTCACTGACTTGTTGGCCTCAGATAATCACCTCGCGGTCCACCCTTTTTGCCCCAAACGCCACCCCCAGAAGTCTATGCAGATGGCGGGAGCACTCAGCGGGAACCTTGGAGGACATGTCCAGGCGGACTGACTGATTCAACTTTGGCAAATCGAGGAGCACATGCCCAGAGCACTCGGGCGGGCAGCTAGGCCCCGGTCCGGGGTCGGGTGGGTGCACAGGAGCCAGGTGGCCAAGGAGGGGACTTGGCAGCTCTCCCTCACCAGGTGGGGAGGCCTCACCCCTCAGGCCCGTGTCCTTTTGAGATTCCCAGGGGAGGAGGCAGGGAAGCCCCTGCCAGACAGGAGCCCAGACTCCTCCCCCCTCCTTGTCTGTCCCTCTCCGTCCCCTCCCTGCCCCCCTCCTCTTCCTCTGTGCCCCTTCCCTGTCCCTCCCCGCCCCCCCCCCGTTCCCTCAGTGCGCAGGCGCAGGTGCTGTAGGTCCCCCGTGGGGGCGTGGCCAGTCAGAGCCAGCCCCACCCACCCACCCCGCCCCCAAGCTGCGCAGGCGCACCACACCAGCCAATCGGCGCGGCTCCCGCCCGTTTCACCCCAGTCTCGGGCTGAGCTGCCGCAGAGCCTCACGGGAGCTCGGCGGAGTCCCGGGAAGGTCGCGGTGCGGGCCGTGGGCCGGAGGTTTGGACGGAGGGCGGGATGGAGGGAGGGAGGGAGGACGGGCGGAGGGAGGACGGGCGGAGGGAGGGCAGAAGCATGGACGGCCGGAGGAGGGACGGAGGCCGGAGGGAGGCGCGGACCAAGGGCCGCGGAGGCCCTCAGGGGCTGGGGGTGCGCTGGGCGTCTCAGGGGTCACGTGGCCCTGGGCGTCTCCTCAGCCCTGAGGGGGCGGGAGCGGCGCGGGCAACCTCTGGCCTCTGACGCGCGGTCCCTGGACTTCCCGGCCCCGACGCGACGGTTGCAGTCGCGGCCCCGGGACCTGGGAGGGCGGGGGCCTCAGCGCCCATCAGGCCTGCTGCTCCCTGTCCGTTGGCGGCGCGGGAGGCTCCTTGCCGGCAGAGGGCGGGCGCGGCGTCTGAGGCAGGTGCCCCCGCTCAGGCCACGCGGGTGAGGCGCGTGGTCGCCGGCTCTTTCCCGCCCGCTGGGCCCCGGAGCGCGCGGGACGGCGCCGCCTCTGGCCGACGCGCACCCCTGCAGCCTCCGGCCGGCCGCGCTCAGGGCCTGGCCCTTCCCTCGAGGTAGGAAGGAGAGCTGCGAGGACCTGGCCGCCGCCTGCCGATGGCGCCCGCCGGGAGGAAACGCAAGGCGAGATCTAAGAAGCCGCAGGCGCCCCCTGACCCCATGGCCGTCTATGACTTTGAGAGTGACGATCCGGAGGAGCCGAGTGGGCCACAGGCGGTTCAGCCAGGTACTGTCTCGGCACCTTCGCAGCGTCCGTGGTAGGGCGTGTCCCGGGGCCTACTCCTGCGTGCGGATGTGCTTGCACACAGTGAAGTTACCGCGTGTGCATTGGGGGTGGGGGCGAACATGTACATGTGCTTGTGATCTTTGTGCCGTAATCCGGCATCACAGAAGCTGGTATCCCATGGTATCTAGGCTCACAGTGGTGATTTGCTGTGAAATTAACCCAGAATGGGGTGTGAGAATGCCTCCAGGAAGTCACCGGGTCCCTTGTCTAATTTGGGCCCCAGTACAGGTGCAAAGGTCGATTGCCCTTTGGAATGCAGGAACTTTCTTTTGTCTTAACTCTTCACAAGTTGTCCCTAGAGACCTAAGGCTAGGTGGGACCTCTGTCCCAACAGTGGTCAAGACTGTGGCTGAGAGATACACACTGAGTTGACTGGAGTCAGGAGGCAACTCTGCATCCCAAGCCCTAATGTGGAGGGGCGGGGTGGCTGTCCGCCTGTGGTTTTTCTCCTATTGTACATACAGCAAGAGACCAGGAGTCAGGCCCACCTGATCTGTAAATGGAACTCTTACCAGCAGTTCTGTTCAGTAACGACCCTCTTTCTTTAACCCTTGTTTGTGCTCACAAGGTTCAGGAGACCTGTGTGTGCCTAGCACACAGCTGGGGATGGCCTCTGTTGACAAGAAATGCCAGGCAAGATCTGGGAATTCTCAGGCCATGGCAGTCTGTGATTTTGAGAGCGAAGAGGGAAGGGACCTGAGTGAAGCAGAGGCCGAACAGCGAGGTACTGTCTCCTCTCTTGCAGGTAGAGCATATCTGGCAGGAACCATGCCTTTCTGAGCACTCCTTCAGCATCCTCAGAATTGTAAACAGTAAACTCCTTTTGTGTGTATGGCATGTACATGCTCATGTGATATTCATGTCCTAAACTGTGATCACAGAATCTTACTTGTTAGCAGCAAGGCTTACAAAGATGGTTCAGTAATATTAACCAGAAAGGGGTATAAGAATGCCTACATGGGGCCTCCCCTGGTGGCACAGGCAGTTGAGCGCAGCGCTGTGAGGCTGTCCGCAGCCTCTGCAAGCACCAGTTCAATCCTAGCTGGTCAGCCGGCAAGGGTTCCACATGGCATGGCAGACCTCTCCTGTCGCGCCCGCTGCTCCCCTCAGCAGTGTATTTCATCAGTCTGCCTGTTCTGTTCCCCGCTCTGTCTCTGGTGAATCCTCTCACCCTCCCATGAATCTGGCCTGTACCCTGGTTCTTGTATAAATAAATAAATCTTTAAAAAAAAAAAAAAAAGAATGCTTACATGAAAAAGGCCTGGTCCTTGATTAAATTTCATTCATTGAACATAACATGATTCTTCCCACATGTTTCCTTTAAAGTTTTGCTGATAGAAAATCTCAAAAATGCCACAGAATGTTGTTTCTCTATAACTTACCAATATGCCATAATTCATTTAAAATTATTTTTTCATCTCTGTCAATGCAGGAAGCAGTCCAGCAGTTGATGATGACTCATGGGAAGAAGTTCATTCTACAGGGACATTTGCGGAAGATATGCGGTAATGTTTTTAAAGTAATATTTGCTTGTCCAGTATGTGTACTATAAAAAGTTAGCTCAGGTAACTGCTGTTGTTACAAATACTGACATGAATACTTTCTTCCAGAACAAGCATGGTATTGCATATTCTTAATTAAATTTTGAATGTAATTTCTTTGCTATTGCATATTCTTAATTAAATTTTGAATGTAATTTCTTCACAGGAAAGAATTACGGGAGATGTTGGAAAAATTTAAAGGTACGATTTAGAAGCTCTTGTAGTGAAAGAGAATTGTTTTAAACCAAAAATCATGTATGACAGGAAATGGTAATTGTGGATTACAGGTCTGTATTTGACACCTTCTTCAGACACAGGCTTCCCCTAGCATGTAGCGTAGTGCGAGTGCGCCCATTTCCTCGGCGACCCCATCTTCACGGGCACATAAGAGGGGAGTCTGCTCCGAATGGTGAGATGAAAGCGGTGCTTCTGCTTGTGCTGTGTGCCTGCTGGGTCCCAGGGTGCTAGGATGACGTGTTTGAATTACTGCCTTTTCTCTTTGCCACAGAGTTATGTATCAGCTTTTATACGAACATTGCAAGTGTTCTCTTTCTAGTTATGTTCTGTGACTTTCCTATTTTTCCCTTTGGTCCAGAAATTGAAATTGAGGCCTATGAAATGAGTCTGTGTTGTTGTAATTTTTGTTAATAACAGGTACAGTGAGTAGCATTGCAAAGAACACATTCCTAGAAGTTTTTTAGAAAAACAGTATTGGGCCACCCTGTTGGCACAGAGGTTAAAGTCAGCACTATCAAGCTGTCAGCAGCCACTGAGGCATCAGTTCGATACCTGTCCAGGGAGCTGACCACATGGCGCAGCAGACCTCTCCTGTCTCGCCCGCTGCTCCCCTCAGCAGTGTATTTCAGTCAATCCGCCTGTTCGGTTGCCCACTCTGTCTCTGGTGAATTGTCTCTCACACACGCACATTCATACATCCGTACCTCTGGCCTGCACCCCAGTTGTTGATTGTATAAATAAAAATAAAGCTAAAAAAAAAAAAAAAAGAAAAAAGTATGCTAGTGATGAATGCTCAGAACCATAAACATCAAAGTTTAAATTGTCCTGTTAACATGAGCTCATTTACATTAGCTGGTCCATTGGACAAGACTCTTTACACAGACTCAACTCTTTTTTTTAAGATTTATTTATCCATACAAGATCTGGAGTATAGGCCAGAGGTGTGGGGTGGTGGTGAGAGGATTCACCAGAGACAGAGTGGGGAGCAGAACAGGAAGATCTATTGAATTACACTGCTGAGGGGAGTAGCAGATGAGACAGGGGAGGTCTGCCCACCATGTGTGGGTTAGCTCCCTGGCCAGGGACTGAACTCATCCTGCAGTGGCTGATGATAGCTTGATAGTGCTGACTTTAACCCCTGTGCCACCAGGGAGGCCCCCCCATACTCAACTTTTGAGTCCTCTTTATGGATCATTCTTGTGAGCAGATATATCTTGAAAGCTTTCCTCTCTTTGGTGGTGACAAGACGCTTGATTTGTGAGTTGTCTCATGAATTATGATGAGAAATAAACTAGATGTGTAAAATATCTAATAATGTACCTTGTCATGATTGCCAGAAAATAGCTATTGATGGTAGACCCAAAACATGAAATCATATACTTTATAAGGTGTTTCTAGAAGTATTAAACTTCTCATAAATTGCAAAGCTTCTTTTTTAAAGTGATGTTGAAAAATTAACTATGTTTTTTCTAAAAAGTATTTAGAAAGTGTACTTGAATAAGTTAGTTCAGTTCATGAAATTCTCCATGGTCTTTAACTACAATCCTTAGTGACTAAATTTAAGAATAAGTTTCTTATCTTTATAATTATTTATTTTTATCTTGTTTGGAATCTTTTAACATAGAGTAATATTGTTCATTTAACTTATCCATTTCTAACAATAATCCTGCCAAACACATCCTCTGACTTGGAGTATATCTTACATATTTATTAAGAATTAGCCTTTATACTTGTTTTTTGACAGAAATTCAGACTATGTCTTTGAGGCTCATAGTATGCAATTTTGAAAATAGCACTTTTTGCTGTAGCTCTTTTTTAGAGTCTAAGTTAATAAATGGCCTGCAGCTATAAAAATTACAATAAAGAATAGAGCAATGAAAAGATTTTATGGATAAAAGGAGGTGAATAAACTTGATTTTTGACTGGAGGCCTTTTTCTTGGCAATTTTCTTCCCAATACTGCTGAACCATCTTTACCATGTTATCTTACATGAGTGTGAATGTATAATTTTCAACATTAAATTTCAATGGCTATGTATTTCCAATACAGAAGACATTGCAAAGGTTCATCACGAAAAGAGAAAAAGTTTCCAAAGAAACACCGATGCGTCTATTAGAGCAATATACCAGAAAATTGAGCATATTTGGAAAATCCAGGATGAGCAAAGGTAATCTTAATGGATTTTAGAGCCCAAATCTGCATATAATTTCTTAGTATTCATGGATACAAAGTAATTGAGGATAATGCCATTGCCTTCTCTTTTTTTGTAGTCTCTAGAGCAAAATGTATTTGGTTGATATGTCTCTAAGAAGAGTAATTCCTTTAACCTCACACCTTAATTGAGTGGAGATGTATTGTCTAGAAGTCAATTTCAAATTATAATTGAGTTTTCTTGATGTGAAAAAAATTTATATTCATTCTTGGAATATACTAGCAGAATAAAAAATAAATGTCCTGTGATTGTTAGCTGTTATCAGTTATGTGGAGAATTTCAATCTTATATTTAAATGTTCTAAAATTTCTCTATTGGGTTCACTGTGTTTTTGTACAAATCCTTATTGTGCTACAGTGGGGGAAATGTGAAATACTACTGTTTGGCAATCTTCTATTGTAGTGTACATGGTATCCTCATCGAATCGATTGATCCTGTCACAACCTATCTTTTATTCTGCAGAAGAAAATGGAGGGAGAAATCCTTGTGGATAAAATGAATATTCCTGGAAAATTTATGCAACATTAATCCTCCTAGTTTTCAAGGGCGAAGGCCTTTGAGGTGGCTTCTCTCCACGTCTTTTAGGAGTAATCACTCCAGGAATGAGAGGCCACCATCTGCTTCATTTGTTTCCCATCTGAAGGTTTCAGCTGCTGTTTTTCTCTTTTCCCTTTATAGTACAGTTGATGGCAAATCAATATTTTTGGAAGTGTTTACCTTTTCTCTTTGGGAGAGGAATGTGACATGGCTCATTATTGTGTTTTACAGGCAGAAGCTTTTCCAGGAATATTCCCAGCAGTTTCTGACTTTATTTCAGGAGTGGAATATAGATGTGCAGAAAGTCAAGGAAGAAGAAGAAAAACTAGCTGTCGGTATCAGGCTGAGCCACAGTTAATTATTAATTAGTCTGTTGTAACCACATCTTGGTCAGGAAGAGAGCCTGGCCATGTCTTCTACCATAGACCTGAGTCAGGTTCCCGTCCCCAGTGCTGGCTGCGTTGTCACAGGAAGTGCAGTAGCACAGGCACACAGCGCACTCACAGAAGCCCCAGGCTCTGATTCCTTCTCTTGCTTGGGATTCTTGCAGTTCCAAGTGACACAAATTTGCCAAAGTGCCAAAGATGGATTTTTTTATTTTTATTTTTTGGTTTATGCACAGAATACAAGGGGAGCTTAGCTCTAGGTACAGTTGGATGGGACCAGGGAAAGGTTGCTCAGGCAGTGTCTCGTGCACCTCGCAGACCTGTTCCATGAGATCAGCAAGAGAGGGCCTCGTAATCTAGATGCACTACAGTGTAGTCACGCCAGAATACTGAGGCACTGTTTCCTCACAGCTCTGGCAGGAGATTCCTCTGGGGAGTCCCCTCCTCTGGGCACTGACTCACCATGTTTGGGTCATTTGCTCAATCCTTGACCGGTCCTTGCAGTCAGGACACGTTTTACTCTGAATGAACTGGCCCCTGTCATAGTTAGGAGTAAGGTTGGCAGAGGAGGTGTTAACTTTGAGGACAGAGGAGGAGCCTGCAAGTCTTCCCTGAGGCTGGACCAGCACTGGACAAGGGTTGTTGTCAGGCGGCAGCAACGTCACAGCGCTCATGAGCTTAGAGTGCACCGGGCTGTTGTGGCCGAGCAGCTGGAGAGCCGGGCTTTCCGGGCATGGGTTGGTCATGCAGACTGACAGAATGAGACAGGGCCAAGGTGAAAATGCAACAGTTATGATGATTGACCATGGATTTAGCCGGGAAGGAAGAAGGTGAACACATGTAGAGATAAGGGACAATGAAGAGTGTCTGAGTCCTTGTTAGATCCTTACAAAGGACTGAGCTATAGTGTGAGAGGGAGTAAGCTGTAAACACATGGAGGTCCTAGTGGTTGAATGTTGGGGAGACAGTAGCATACACTGGTCAAGATCCTGTGGCTTTGGATATAGCATTTGGGGTCCAACTCTGTTCCATCCATAGCAGGTTATGTGTCTGCTGTGTGTCTGCAGTAGCCATGGGCAGATTATGTAATCTCTGTGCTTCAATGTCCTCATTTGTGAAGGGAGCATGATAAGAGCACTGACCTCACGGTTTGTTTTGAACATAAATATCAGTATTCTAATTTTATTTATAATCTTGCAAAGCAGACCTGACACATAGCTCCCATATAAGTCTGTTGTCATACAAACATTGCAATTGTCGAGATGGCAGGGGATGAAAGAATCTAGGGCTTGAACTTGGAAGTAAACACCTAAACTAGGGGAGATGACAATATTGTTTTTGGAGATGAGGCCAAGAACTCAAAAGTGCATTATTTGAAGGTTCACCTGTACGGATGTTGAATGCCCAAGAACTACTATATGATTTGAATATTGTTAGAAAAGCATGTGCCCTTATTGACTGTTAGTAAGATGAGTGCATAGTTTTCACTTCTAGTAAAAGGATCATTGTACGGGCCATTTGTGGATTTGAAAATAACCTAGAAAGATACTTTGAATATGGATAAGACAGAAAATTTCTTTCTCAAGCCTGATGGCTAGTGTTAGTATGTTTTTCATTTATTGGTGGGGAACACAAATCTTGAAACGTTATCATAAAAGTTAAAATTAAATGTTAAATATACCGATTCCAAGAAAAATCCTTTTAAACTTAGTGTGGCCTTATGCTTTTCCAGCTATGAAATTAAGTGCATTTTATCTCAACTTTTTCTTTCTTGTAGAATTTGATTCAGGAGCAAAAAAATTTTTTTCAACAAACTAGAATGCTTCATCACGAGAGACAGAAAAAATTAAACAGTCTATACGAGGAGTTCTTAAAGGTCGGTTGCACTGGTAACAATGAAGTCTTCTAAAACATAATGTCTGTTTTGAAGTAGAAGCAGGATTATTTCATAACTTATGGGGAAAATATTCTGGTTACCTGCTTTAACCACATGGTTTTAACCATCTTCCCTTCAGAATTATTTTTCCCTCTTTAAACATACAAGCTAACGTGTGTTTATTTCAGAATTTATTAGTTTTGTGATGTTATATAAGACAAGAAGCGGTAAATTGGGAATTTTACCTCGATGTAACGTTGAAGTTAAAATTGATATCTAATTATAATGTTGTATTCAACAAAAGATATTTAGGAGATCAGTGACAACTTTATCATGGAAATTAAGGTCTGTGTTTTGGTTGTAATATCTTTAGTTTCTATTGTATCATCAGTTTATGTAAAATAGAAAGTAGAAATTGAAATGATTGAATATCTCTTTTTTAGAAAATATTGTATGAGTGTTTTATGGTACATTTGCTTTGAGACTATCTCCAGTGACTTCCAATGGCTTTATATATGCAGACTTGGGATCATAAGGCCCTGATGTGTAACAATATGAAAGGCAGAGGAGGGCGCTAAGCTTGTGAACTGAGAATCAGCTGCTGTCCTGTTTGCCTATAAGTTGATTTTCCTCGGTGACATTGTTCTCTTCCTTATACAGATGTGTAATTATTAGGTGGTGATGGAATCCTCATTATACCCCTTCTCTTTTACCATGGGATGTTCTTTTTAATCATCTTGGGCAAATATATGTCAGTGAGTCAAATAAGATGGTTCAAGGAGTGCAGTGAAAGAGTTTTAATAGGAGTATTCTTTAAGGAATGTCAGAGTTTTGTATATTCAGCATAGTTATTTTAAAATTCAAATAGAGACAGTGTTGCTCTGATTCTCCCTGAGAGCCAGTTATTATTTGGCGTGGAGGTTTGATAAAGTCCTAATGAAGATTTCTCCTAAAGGTCCTTTCTAAACATCAGCACTTTCCCATCCCGTCATTTCTGGGCCCTGCAATTCTTCCCTCTGAAATTACGGCCAGACAGTTCTTTCTCTCAGCTCTTGTGCCACTGCCCTAGTCAGGACTTTGTCATTCATTGCTCGTGCTGTTGCATAAACTCTTGCCTGCTCTCTCTCATGCTTTACAGCTCCGCACTGTACTCTTCCAGCCGCGTGCCCGCCCTCCGGAAGACCTGACGCCACCTTCCCACCTTCAGTTCTCAGCTTTGCGGTGTCTGGCATCGAGGCCTCCTTGGCAGTTTCCTACATACATTCTGTGTTTGCTCCCAGCCCTCCAGAGCAGTTGCTGCCTCTGAACTAACCCAGTGTCTCACCTTGCTTTCGTGTTCCTCCCCTGGAACACTTAATTGTCTCTTTCTTCATTGTCTTTCTTTAATCGTCTCTTTCCTTATTGAAATCTTTATTTTTTTGCCAATTGTTATAAAGTTTTTGTGTGAGTTTTTTGTATGTGTTTTTTTTTTTTTTAATTCTCACTGGAATAAGGAAGTGACGGTGCTTTTCTCTATAGCACTTAACAGAGTGCCTTTTATTTAGGACACACTAGATCACTGTTGGTTGGACAAGTAGCAGACATTTAGCACATAAGTTTGTTTCTTGTAACTTAAAATGGTCGCATAGCGGTTTTCATTGTATTTGCTTCATTGGCATCATGTTACATTGATGGTTAGTCACTGTAAGCGTGTTGTTCTTACCTAGTGATTAGAAACTTTTTAGAGAGTTTCAAAATTATGGTAATTCATGCCATGGGCATGTCAGTCTTTTGCTCTTTTTGATCCACCTTGTCCTCACCCGTTCTTTTGAGTGCAGTATATGACACTTCTACCTCTATAATCTGACTCAAATATGGTATTTAAAAATTCCTTAAGTGGGTATTTGATCTTTACATGTTAGTAATATTAACATTCTTTATTTGAAATAAATACCAAGCATCCTTTGGAATGTAGTAACCATCACTTTTAAGATTTAATCGTTCATGTTTAGAACATGAAGTGAAAAGTGATAGTTTGTTACTCAGCTGGACTTCCTGTTTCAGAGCATGGAGGACTTAGACAAGGATCAAGAACATCTCATCATGGATGAAAATGGTGAACTCAGACAAGAAATGGCCGCATTGCAGAACAACATTATGATACAATCTGTAAGTGGTGTGGGTTTTATATTAAGATCTGAGGTGGGGTGTGAGCATTGGGGTAATTTATTTATGAGAATGCACATAGCACTTAACTAATGTTTCCTTTCCTGAAACAGCAAGAGCAAGATATGGCAGTCGTTCGAAACTATCTCCAATCCATGTTGTTCTGGTGATTTTGAAGAAAGAACTTCAACCCAAGTTGTTTGTTATAAGCATAACATTAGCTACACTAAGCCACATTGCAGTGGTTTAAATATTTCTCACTAAAGTCAGTTCATTTTGTTATCATATGTTTGTTGAGTGTAGGACTCCTTTTCCATTAACCACCAAAGGAACCCCAGACAGTTATGTGGGTAGCAGTTAAACCAGAGTTGTATGTGTGTGAAGCTTTCAGTGCTTTAGTGGCAAGAGCAGAAACTGCAAATACGGAGTTTTACATTGTTCTCCCTTTGGAAAAATATTACAAAATAAAAAATCTATTTAATCTGTGCACCCTGTTGTGTTTTCTCAGTAAGGAGCAGCCTTAATTCCAGTAACATAGTCTTCAAAAGAAGAATCTATCCTAGTACCTTGTAGATCATATTGAAAGGCTCCTAAGTTTGCATGGTTGACCAAAACCACAGATTACTTGAAAGAAAACATAGGGGACACTACAAACTCAAAAAAAAAAAAAACAACCAAAAAACAACAACGAACAGACTGGGAAAAAATATTTGCACATCATACATCTGACAAGGGGATAATCTCCAAAATCTGTACTTCTTATACTCTAGTTCATATACAGATTTATAGTTCATTTGTAGTTCTTATGCACCAGCAAGACAAGAAGCAACCCTAGCAGATAATTGGCAAAATACCTAAGTACACACTTCCGTGCAGACATTCAGGTGGCAACAGACATGAAAAATGACTCAAAATTTGTTATAAGAGAAATGCAAATCAAAACCTCAATGAGATACACCTCACCCCTGTGAGAAAGCTCATATAAAACAACAGATTGTGGTGATAAAGAAACTTTATGTGGGTGGGAGTGCAAGTTGGTACAACCTCTTTGGAAACTGGTATGAAGGTTGCTTAAGAAAATAAAATGAAAATTCTGTATAATCCAGTAATGCCTCTACTTGGTATTTATCCTGGAATATGAAAACTATATTACAGAAAAAGATTATTGCAGGCCTGGTACATAGCAGCACCGACCACAAATGCCAAGGCTGGGAACTGTGTAGCCCCCACAGTGTCCTTCAATAGACAAAAGGATACAGACAACGCGGAATATATGCTCGATGTAGCATTACACCACGGAAAAAGCTGAGATGCTGGTGTTTGGGGCAAAAAGGGTGGACCGCGAGGTGATTATCTGAGGCCAACAAGTCAGTGAAAGAGAGCTAGGGCATGGGTCGCTCAGCTGGGGGATATAGACGCCAACCCCGAGCGGCCCCCTGCAGGAGCCACGAATCTTGACTTCCGTGGAAGAACGTAACGACTGCCAGAGGGAGCAGTGGGCAGGGAGGCAGAAGGGGTTTGGCTCGGGCGGTTGGGTGGAAGGCGAGTGGAACTTGGGCACGTGATGAGGGCAAAAGCGTAACCCCCGAATTAAAATGCACAAAATGTCAAGGCATGGAGAAGAACTTACTATTTTGTTCGCAAAGTGCCCATGAGCATAGTTTCGGGCGCGACGTGCTGATTGCACGAATTCATATACCGCAAAGGGGTCACCTCAGCAGGCCGAGGCAACTCCATCCAGAGTTGCCCATAAAGCCTTCCCAGTCTACCGCTGGCTCATTCTGTAAGCTTCAGGAGCGCAGCGCTTTAGCCCGCGATCACACTGAGCCTCCTCCCTTAGCACAACGAACGAAAACCTTGCACTTGAAGTTGCTGTGGCTGATCCTCCGCGCGCATTTTTAAAATCTACTTTGCCGAGAGACACATTGTGTAAAGTGCCAAGCGCTGATGCGGTTTTATTTCTCAAACACGCCACTGTCCCCTTTTTGCCAACAGGACACCCGAACGCCCGCTACCAAGGGCAGGTGCTCCTGAAGCAAGCGGAGCCTCCGCTGCGCCCGTGCGGTGGCAGGCGGGTGAGCTTCACTGAGCGCGAGCGCGGGTGGAGGCAAGGCGCCTGGGTCCAGCCCCGGGAGAGCGTTTGGAGCTTCCTGAACGTCGTGGATCTGGAAACGCCGCGTGACCCAGCCACAGCCCGGCGAGGGATTGGCCCCGAGAAAGTGAAGACACGCGTAAGAAGTGTGTTCCCAGCAGCGTGCGTCGCGAGAGCCAAGACCTGGCATCACCCCAGCCGCCCACGGACAGACAAGTGGCTAAGGAGACGTGCGTCTGAGCTCGACGCATGCAGCCCCGTGAGGCCAAAACGTTACGCTTTGAGCGCTGCTGACGGTAAGGGACTAAACCGGCGTCCCCCTGCAGAGTCCTGGGCCCTGGCGCGGGCCTACCGAGGGAGCTGCCCGGGAGCTGGGCACCTGCACGTCCCCTGTGCCCTGGGGCTGGACCTGCGTGTGTGTCAGAGGCCCGGCTGGCCAGAGCGCCGGCAGCGCGACGTCTCCACCTGCTGGCCTCCCGGCCGGCGGGCACGCTTGGACACGCGCGGAGCGGGGGCCCGGGAAACGCTGCAAACGGGAAAAGCAGCAAGGAATGAGGAGCAAAGGGCGTGGGGGGGCGCTCCTGCTGCCGAGAACCAAGACCGACTGGCACACCTTGGGGTTTCCTGAGCCCACAGGGAGCCGGGCTGGGTCGGGCCTAACGGGGAAGCGGAGCGGGTGCCTTTCAACCCGCACCCGGCCACCTGAGAGCCCAGGGACAGGCCGCGCCGCGCAGGGTCCGGGCCCCTGCGGCGGGGCCCGAGAGCATGTGAGGCGCGTCCAGGTTGCCCTTGAGGGAGGTCAGCCGGTGCGGAGTGCCCGACTCGGCACCCGTCCGGTGGAAAGGAGCCCCGGGGAGGACCTGGCCCCTAGGGGCGCGCGCCTGCACACGCGCGCGCGCGTGTGTGTGTGTGTGTGTGTGCGCGCGTGTGTGTGGGGAACAGAGCTGGCCTCCTTCACTGCCCCATAACATTCCGCGCAAAGCGCCTGGGCCCAGCCTAGTGCAAGGCACGTGAGGTGTGCACGCGGCCGCCTCACTCCCTCCTGGGCGGGGCGGGGCGGGTGCTGAGGTGGGGAGCGGCGCGCTCGTCTGAGGATGCATTAGTGCTTCCTGGTTTCCATAGAAAGCTAACACCAGGGAGAGCGTTTTGATGACATTCTGGTTTCCACGACAACGGGGGTAAGCCTTCTCCCTGGCAGCAGAAACACTGCACAGGGATCTTGACAGACTGGAGAGATGGAGTAACTGTAGAAACATCGAGAATAGTAGGTGTCTGCCGCCGTGTGCGTGCGTGCGTGGGTGCGTGCGTGCGTGCGTGTGTGTGTGTGTGTGTGTGTGAGTATGCGAGCGCGCGGGACTCCCGCCGGCCCGAGGAGCTTGGTTGGCCAAAAGGTGGGCCTTTTCTGAAGGGGGCCAGCGGCTCCTCCCGGGGGCGGCAGAGGGGACCGGCCCGCCGGCCCGCCAGCCCCGTCAGTGTCCGAAGGCGACACCTGTTGCGAGGCCATCGTGGCCCGAGTCCCTTACAGCGGGGGTCCCCAAGCATTGCTCACGTTCCCCTCCGTCGACGACAGCAGCCCCGGGCCGCTGGCCGGCTCCCACCGCCTCAGAGGGAGACGCTCTTGCGTGCGCCGCGGGGGAGAGGCGGCGAGCCCGGCGGGAAGACGCCCCGGCTCGCCGTGTGGCCAGGCGGGGAGACTGCGCTACCCGGGGCAGCCGACGCGGCTGGAGGAGGAAGGCGGCTCTCGCGGACCGCCTTCCTGGGGGCACCGCCGAGGGCAGGGGGTGGGCCTCCTCTGAGCGCAGGGACCCGCTGGTGGCCGGGCCGGGGGGGGGGGGGGCGCGTTAGCCGCGGACGCCGCCGCCCTGCGGGTTTCTGGTGACCGTGGCTCTGAAGAGAAGCGGGGCCCCTGGAGGACACCCCGGCCTCGTCCCCCGAGACGTGCTTCCAGAAGAGGCGGGGCGGAGGTCAGGGGTCCCCGCGCCTCTGGGCTCAGCCCCGTGTGCTGGCCTGTGCTGCGGGCTCCCCCGGCTCCCCACCCCGCCTGCCGCCTGTCCTCTGGCTCCCCGGAGGGAGGGTGTGCGGGGCCTGCAGAGGCCGAGGGGTCTGGGAGGGAGAGAACTGCCGCGTCCTCCCCTCCCTTCCGCGCCGTCCCTCCTTCTCCGTTGCCCGCGCCTCGGGGTCACCCCAACAACAGCCGTCCGTGGGGCCGCGCCAGGGGCCCGTGACTGCAGTGGAGAGGCGGACCAGCTGGCCGACTAGCCGGCGCGCGCTCTCTCGCTTGCTAGCGGCCCAGCTCCCGAGCGCGTCGGCCCGCTCCCCCAGCAGCCGGCTAAGGCGCTGACCGGCTGGGTAGCCGGCTCACAGCTCCCGGACAGGCTCCTAGCAGGTGTTCCGCGGTGCGGCCAGGGAGGCGCGTCTCAGACGCCAGGTGAAACAACACCTTGCCCGCGACACGCTGCATGCGCGTCAGAACAGGTGTCCGGGCAGCGTGGAGAGCCCTGGAACGGGCGGGAGGAGGCAGAGAGGACTCCCACGCGGGGAGGAGGTTGCCGGCCTTGCTGGGCGCGGACGGGGCGCGTTCTGGAGTGGCGGGGGGCGGGGGCAGGAGATGAGAACACGGGCCGCAGATCACTGGCTCAGTAATCTCCCCTCTGCTCTTGGGTTTCCAGATTCTCCTTCGGGGCGCACCGGTGCGGGGTCAGCATTGGCACCCCTGGACCCCGGCGGGGCCCGGACGCTCCAGAAGCGTGGAGCGAGATGAGGGGTGCGCCCGCCAAGCGGTGGCGGGCGGAGAGGCCAGGCATCCGGCTGCCAGAAGCACACGCCCGTCCCAGGAGCCCCGGGCCGTCAGGTGAGGCTCCCCCGGCGCCCGCAGTCCCGCGGGGCCGACATTTGGGGTGGGGCGGTCTGGCTCCCTCTCCTTGCCAGGGCTTTGCAGATGTGGGCGGGGGGAGAAACCTCGCGACCACCACAGGCGGGGACGTGGGCGGTGGCAGCGGCGGCCGTGAGCCGCGCCCGCGAGCCCTGGGAGGCTGAGGCCTGCAGCCCCGGCACGAGCTTCCCGCGCCTCCGCCTCCTCTTCAGGCTCTGGAGCCCGACCCGAGCCGACCGCCGGCACCCCCGGGCCCAGACCCGCTGGCTGCCAGGCTGACGGGATGGCACAGAGCACCCCAGAAGAGAGACGCCGATGCGGTCCCCTAGGTGGAGCCCCCGGGCGCCAGAGGGCACGGGCGGGCGGCGGGGGGGGGGGGGGGGGGGGGGGGGGGCCGTGCAGAGGTGGGAGCCAGCTCTCAAAGGGGCGCCCACGCCCGGCCCCCGAGAACGGGTCTGCCCAGCCTGCTCGGCGCCTCCCCTCGTTGTCTGTCCCCCGCCTCACGATTCCCAGACCCCGACTGTCGTCTCCTCGCACGGGGGGCGGGTCCCTGA